GAAGCCATCTTTCTGTCTCTCAAACATGCTAAGCTTGTTCTTGCCTCAGGGCCTTGAGGACCACTTCCTCTGCCTGAAGGCCCATTATATTCAAAGGACACCTCCTTAGAGATGGCCTATCCCTGAGAATCATGCTGGAATAGCACCTCCCACACCAGGCACTCTATTAACAACACTGTCACTCTCAAAATTAACATGTTAATTGTCACTGACTCCAAATGCAAGCTCCCTAAGAATGGGGACCTTATTTCCTTGTTTCTGAGTGCTTAGTGTCTACAAGAGCTCTAGGCACTTAGTAGGTAGGGACATAAAAAACGTGTATATGTGTGTGCACATGTCTGCATGCATGCATAAGTGTAGATATATGTACATACACATATGTGGATAACCGTGTATATATGTATATATATATATATGTATTTATGTATATTCAAAATGAAAATAAGGATAGCAAACTAGTCAACATGAATTTGTCTTAAATTTTGTATTAAATGTACATTTGAATAAATAAATATTCATCATAATGAATGTAGTGGAACAGCAAGATACTCTGTTATAGATTTATTAATAACAGTGAGAGATCTATTGTTATTCATCATAATCATGTAACATCATCATTTAATTATACTCTTATCCTCACCACTTATTTTTATCATCTTCATCAACCACACTGCAAATAGAGCATGGTTAAATAAAGGACACTCTTTCAGAGCTAGCTTTCAATTCCAATTGAATCTATACCCTTTTACCCACTTTGATTCCTGCTTTCCCTACAAATTCAAGGCCCCAGTGGAAAGCAGGCAGAGGTGACTAATCGGCAAATGATTCTCCTTATTGAAAGACCAGCCTGAACTTGCCCATTTTAACAGAACCTGGGAGCTCTTTGCCTGACCTTGTACCTGCTTTTCTCCCACCTCTTCCCACTGTTTCCATAATGCCTCCCATTCTGCCTGGTCACCCCGTCTTCTATCATGTCTTACCCTAGTTGTTTTCCCATCCCCACTGTGAAATGAGGGGTGTTTTGGAGGGAGCCTGCTATAAGGATTATAGAGGGAGAGAAAAACTGTATTGTTGTGACTGAAATAAGAAAATGATTGGGTGAGAATCTGTAAGATACAGTTAAAATTTTGGAGTTGGATCATTCAAGATCTGAGAGCTGCACAACACAATCTTGTCTTTCAAAGAAAAACAGGCTATAAATGATGACCTCCTTCTTTATAATTTTCTTGTATATTTTGCATCATAAAACAACCAGCCAAAGTCCACAGGAAGGTGTGCATCTTTGTGGGGTGTGTCTCCCTGTGTTTTTTGTCAGGTCACTTTTATAAAAGGATTGACGGAAATTTTTTTTCAATATTCTTTCATTGTTTGGGGCAGTTTAATTATTCACCTTTGGAAAAACAGGAGAGAGATCTATAGGAAAAGACTTGGCCTGAATTTCTCAGGGTCTATAGTTAAATGTCCTTATGGAGTTCTTCTTTGTTCCCGCTGAGGAATGTTTCACAATAAAGCACAACACCCCTCGCAGACTTCTAGAAAGGTCCAGTGTAGCCTCAGGACTAGTTTGGCCAGGCCAGGTCAAGCCATATGTTTGGTTTTATTAATATATCTGTCCAAAGAGTGAAATTTCATTATTATGACCCGATAAAGAAAAATTCATCATTCTGACAAAACAAGAACCAGCTGTACATTTTGCTTTTTAACCTTTCACATTTTTTATCTTCCTCCTGTAGAGATTACAACCAAAAGTTGAACTCTGGTATAATCTGGTTGTAGATAATCTTGTTTATTAAACATTCTGAAGGCTTATCATATAATGATACTCTTCCTTCCATTCCACTCTAAAAATAAGTATTATTGGATCCATTCTGCAACTGAAATCCTGCTACACATAGACTTATTTAATTTTCCTCGAGATTAAAAAAAAAAAAAAATCTACTTGTCCCCCTGTGTTAGACTTGTTTCATAAGGAGGAAACAACAACAACAAAAAGCTTTTAAAGATAATATTCAGTTTTTACCTTCAAGCTCCTAACCAATAGAACCATAATAATGACAGACACTGAAACCATAAAATAAATAAATAAAAACCTGCCTACTCACCACTGTTTAGAACCCCGGCCAAGAAAAGCAACATACTGCATATTTCTCAGCCTAGGCAAACTTCATTTATGCCATTATTTTATCCTCTATACTCCTGGTAATTTCAAATTTGCATCGAAATAAGAAGAAAAATGTCCAATGTAAATTTCTGCCAATATCTGGAAAAAAAAATTCTTGCTTCACCCTCAGTATTCCAAGCTTCATGCTCTGATAAGTATGGCCATATGTGTTTCTCCTTGAGAACAGAGAGTTTTTGGACTCAGATTTCTCCAAGGAAGTGAGGCAGTTTGAGCAGACTGGACATGAATAAATATCACTCCTTTGAGTACAAAAAGTCAAAAGAATTCCTTTGGGTCAGGAACCAGAAAACAAGGGGACTATTTAATAATAATGAGTACAAAGGAGATATGGGATAGAGACACTGAAATGGAGCACCTTAGGAACCCAGCTTTTCAAATCTTGTCTAGTAAGGTAGCCACTAGTCATACATAACTATTGAACATTTGAACTATGACAAGAACAGAATTTTTACTTTTTTTTTTTTTTTTAATTAAGATAGGTTCTTGCAAGGTTGTCCATTGGACTTCTGGGCTCAAGTAAATCCTCCCCCTGCCTTGGTCTCCTAAGTAGCTAGGACAACAGGCATGTGCCATTGTACCCAGCTAATTTTTTTTAAAATTTAAATTGATTAATTTAAATTTAAATGGTCACAAGTAGCTGGTATTTATTCAGAGAAGTTCAAGCTATGCTTCTTACATCATTTTAAAAATTTAACTGACAGTCTTCAGTATAGCTGGTTCCCCACTCTAGACTGCTTAGGTTCCAATTCGCACTCTTGGTCTACCTGTCTGATCTTCTGACCTCAAAACTGTCTTCCTGAGCTGTTGTATAGATGCTTTTAGTAAATCTGTGATCCATCGCTGCCCAGAAACTCAGGCCTGGAAGAACTCTGGTCTCTCCCCATTTGCTTTTAATAGGAAATTGAGTACATTTTTTAAAAATTAGTGAAAAAGATTAAATCTAGTGATCTATCAAAAGCCTCCTCCAAGTCTGGGGATGGAGCTCAGTGCTAGTGCACTTGCTTAACATGTACAAGTCCCTGGTTTGAATCCTCACTACTAGGGGGTAAAAAGTCATCTTCCAGTCTAAAATTCTAGGTAAACAACTGACTATTTCTAAAATCATACTGTAAATACAGAATATTTCTACTACTCTACGCCTCAACAAAACATGCCCCTGTATGAACGCATCAAATAGACACCAGGCATTATTTAGCATCACATATCATACAGCTGATTCTCTGAATCATTAGTCAAAAAGTATACTTTTATCTCTTCTGCTGTTATTCAGAAAGACATTTTAATGCCCAAAGTATTATTTTAATATCTGTCATTCATAGGAAACTCATATATATTTTCATATAATATTGAACTAACTCTTGTCTCCATTGTACATTCTGTTACAGCTATGCCATTTCAAGTGCATATCTATTTCTTATTATTGACCAGATTTTCTACTTTCTCGTCAATAGATAAAACAGTTTTAAATGCAGTACTAAATTGGTATAGATAACTAAAATGTAGTAAGAAAAAATTTCACAGAAAGATAGGAAATTAGATTCAATGTGTGTCTCACAAAAGAGAGGGCAGCTCAACAAACACTTACTGGTTTAACGTGACATCAAGAATGAATGACGTTCCAAAGGCATCAACCTGGAAGCTTGCCTGGTCAACATGAGTCAACTGCAATATCAAAAAGATAAAAGGCACTCATTAGCCACAGCATTCAGATGAGTAGTATTGCTTATGATTGTTCAAAAAGGTTTACAATATCACAAATGAGAGAGCCAGTTCAACATGGAGAGTAAAGGAAAGCATAATTTGCACCTTCTTAGAAGCCAAGTACTCACCAATATGAAGTGAACTACCAACCCAATCAAGGAAGCCAAGTGCCCTACTTTTCTGCTTTGTCTCAAGTGGTTAAACATTCCCTTTCTAAGAAGACTTTACTTCATTAATCTTATTCTATATGGAATGACTAGCTGCTCTAAAATTAAGCTTTTACATTCAAAAATGAAAACATGCTCAATTCAAGAGTGAAGTAATATAGTGAATATGATCTACAGACAAAGATACAACCTCTACAAACTTTTTATCATATCTCAAATGCATACTTTAAAAATAACACTTCTGGGCTGGGGTTGTGACTCAGTGGTAGAGCACTTGCCTAGCATGTGTGAGGCCCTGGGTTTGAGTCTCAGCACCACATATAGATAAAATAAAGGTCCATTTACAACTAAAATAAATATATATTTTTAAAAAATAAAATAAAATAAAAATAATACTTCATCTCAAATTCACCAAACCTAATTGCATAGAGGTTTCCACATCTTCCTAAGAAAAAATCTGAACCTCTGCACATCTAATGCAAATATCACTCATCAAAATTTTCTTGGATAAAAATAATCAGTTTTCTATGCCATCTTACAAACTCCCACAGAGAATCACATGGGCACTCTAAAAATATATAATGTCATCAATAACATAATAATAATATATTGAATGATCATGTGTATTCACTGAATATGTATTCAGTGAAATATGTAAATGAATAAGGAAAACTATCTTCTCTCCCCTAACTCCATCTCTGGATCAAATCCAGGGCCTCAGACATGATAGCAAATTCTCTACCACTTGAGAAACAACGCAAACCCTTTTTATTTGAGAAAGGGCCTCATCAAGTTGTCCAGACCTTAAACTTGCAATCTCCCAAGCAGGGATTATAGGGACCACTTCACCCTGCCAAAACTGTCTATTCTGTTTGACTCCCCAAATACTAATAGAAGCTATATCTAAACCTTAGGACTATAAACTACTGGAATTTTCATGTGTCTCTATAGCATCCAATTTTCTGAAATAAACATATATAACTCTTATAAAGAGAAAAACATACAAATATTATTTTAGAAAGGAAAACTATCAATAACAACTGTATGTATATAGTATGTGAGGCTGCTCTTGAGAACTAGCACATCATGGAAGACACATCCTAGAATTCAGTGGGGCAAAAAGGGAACCTCAACCATCCCTAGGTTTTCCTTTGCAGTAAACTATGGGATTAGGTGAGCAGAGAGAGCTTACTTAACAATGATGAAGATTTTTTGGAAAGAAAGAATAATTCTTCTATTTCAAGCTTTTGGAAGAAACTGGGGTGGAAGAATGTTATACCTCAGTTTCTAACATATTCCCATTCTCATAAAACCCCAAAGAGCCTTCTGAATACCTCTTAGTCTCATTTGCCATTAACCTTAACTCCTCACTCTTCCCTCACTCTTCCTAACCAACACCAGGTTTTTCTTAACACAAAACTCTTCTCCCCTAATTTCAAAATCCTGCATAATTACCTCCCCAACTCACCCCAGGCATAATGGTCCAGAAGCTCCCAAGCACCCCCTTACACCCCATCTACACTGAGTTCTCTCTTCTGTAGGTCAAAAGCTATGCTTATTTCAACTTTTTCAATGGCTTTTGTTCGCTTTTTTTTTTTAGTTAGAAATATTTTAATTACAAGAAAATCAAAGGATTGAAATGCAGCAGGCATAAGGAACATATAAACCAAGAAGGTAATAGCTACCAGACTTCTGCCTCTAACTTTTTTTTACTGAGGACTTTTCTGAACCAAACCCTTCAACAAGGCAGATTCCCAGAATCGGTCCTACCCATTTTAGGACCTAGGTCAAGTTCCTCCTTCTAATATCTGCTGTAGCCACCATAACAAAATACTCCAGGCTGGATGGCTTACACTACAGAAATTTCCTTTTTCACAGCTGTGGAGGTTGGAAGTCCAAGATTAAGGTGTTGACAGATTTGGTTTCTCTTGAGGGCTCTTTCTTGGTTTGCACCTGGCTTTCTTCTCACTGTGTACTCACATGGCCTTTTCTATTGGACATACATATCTGATGTCACATCCTCTTCTCATGAAGACATCAATCCTATGGGACTAGGGACCCCAACTTTATGATCTCATTTAATCATAATCATCTCCTTTTAAAGGCCCTGTGTCCAAATACAATCACATTGGTGGTTACATCTTCAACACATGAATTTTGAGGGGACACAATTCAGTCTATAATACTTCTCTTCCATGGGCTGGGGCTGTAGTTCAGTGGTAGAGCACTTGCCTAGCAAGTGTCAGGCAATGGGTTTGATCCTTAGCACTACATAAAAAATAAATAAAATAAAGATATTGTGTCCATCACAACTAAAACTTATTTTATTAAAAATTTTATGTATTTATTTATTTATATTTTAGCTGTAGATAGACACAATATCTTTATTTTATTTATTTATTTTTATGTGGTGCTGAGGATCAAGCCCAGGGCCTCGCATGTGCTAGGCAAGTACTCTATCGCTAAGCCACAACCCCAGCCCCTAAAACTTATTTTTAAAAAATACTTCTCTTCTATGAAGTCTTTCCAACCTCTTTCCCCCTCCCCTCCTCCTCCTCCTCCCTCCTTCTCCCCCTCCTCCTCCTCCTCCTCCTCCTCCTCCTCCTCTTCCTCCTCCTCCTCACTTCAGGTCAGGGTCACATCACAGCTTCATTACTGACCAGCATTAGGTACTTAAGAATTGTTTTATACATCACCTGGATGCATCAATGAAGATGGGCACAGCTATAAATTATCTGCATACCAAAATACTATCTTTCCATCAGGGTTGTTTTTAATGCCATGTCAATGGATGTTGTTCCTTATGCCTAAAAGCCCTTTGGATCATGTTTTGGGAACAGCCTGAGGAAAGCTCTGCTTACCAGAAGTGATGTCTCAATTAAAATGAATCTCTTCCTCCTTTATTCTTCTTGTATGACTATTATAGCTCTTATCTCAGTCTCCTTTGAATTACAAATGCGAGCATTGTAAATCTGTGGTGAAGAGGGCAGAAAGCCCAAGCTACTTACCAGGGCATCATAATTAGAGCTCAGATCAAGGTAATATTACATTCTGTCTTGGCAAGGTATTTACTAATTCTGTCTAGTTCTCTTTCTTCTTTTTATTTTTTTATTATTTAAATTTTTATCTTTTTGGTACTGGTTATTGAACCCAGGGGGTACTTTACCACTGAGCTATAGCCCACAACTTTTTATTTTTTATTTTAGGACAAGGTCTTGCTAAGTTGCCGGGGTTGGACTCAAACTTGCAATCTTTCTACTTCAGCCTCTCAAGTCTTGGGATCACAGGCAACTTCTGTTTTTAATCAACATGTGATAATTACACAAGTTTGTGAGTTTTAGTGTGTTATTTCAAAATATTTACAAAATGTGCGCCAATCTAATTAGGGTAATTATATCTCTAGTTCCTTACCACTTCTTTATGTTGGGAGCCTTTGAGTTCCTCTCTTCTAGTTCTTAATAAAGTATATAATAGGTTATCATTATAAAGTGGGACTACTGTATAGTGGGACACTAGAATATATTCTTCCTACCTATTTTGGTATTTATTTATTTATTTATTTATTTATTTATTTATTTATCTTTTAGAGAGACAGAGAGAATTTTTTTAATTTTTTTTTTTTTTTTAGTTTTTGGCGGACACAACATCTTTGTTTGTATGTGGTGCTGAGGATCGAACCCAGGCCCCACACATGTCAGTCGAGCGCACTACCGCTTGAGCCACATCCCAGCCCTATTTTGGTACTTATTATCCCCTTCCTCTTGTTGGTAAAGATGGCACCCAGACAGAGCACTTCTCTTCCAGGAGCTCAGGTCCATGAAGCACTGAGTGGCAGGTGAACCATCACCTCCAATCCCGGTGAATGGCTCGAACTTTGAATGGCACACCTCCAATCCCTGAAGTGGCGCGAACTCTCAGCCAATGAAGAAGTAACAGCTCACTTGTCTTGCTCTTCCTCATCCTGCGTTGAGCCCATAAATATCAACACCCTATTCGTTCTCTCTTTCTCTCTCTCTCTGTCCCCCTCTCCCTCTCCCTCACCCTCACCCTCCCTCTC